ATATTGTGTTGGCATATGCTTCGTCATCCTGCAGCCTATAGAGCAAGCACACAAGAGACTGCCTCTGGCCGAGCCGCTCACTTCCAGTTTAGCCCTCCACTAACTTGAATGAATGCATGTCAGCAACTGGTCCAAGACAAACCCTAAGGAACTGGGACCTCACTGCACCAGAGCGAAGGGCAAGAGGTCAAATGGAGATCAAAAAGAGGAGACATGGCAAGACTTGATAAATTAATACAGGACGATTCTGTTCAGTCTTACAAGTGTGAGTGTTAAGCTATATTTCCAGATAACATTTATCTATTACATCACAGTGGTTTTGTGAAACACAATCCAATTTAATTTCTACCCACCAAAATCCATCCTAACAGTCTTGTTAGGTTAAGTAAATGTTAAGGGAGCAGTATGTACAATTCACTGGCATCTAGCAATGTAGTTGCTGATTGAAAAACCCTCACCCTTCCCATTCCTAGAGTGTAGGAGAAACTACAGAGTCCGTGAAACTAACCAAAAAGGCCCTATCTAGAACCCGCTCTCTCTGTAGATAAAAACGGCTCATTCTAAAGTAACAAACACAACAATTCCTATATTCAGGTGATTATACACTAATGAATATATTAAATTCCATTTCTGACAATAGATCCTCCTAAATGTTACACACTGGACCTTACCATATAAACTAGCCTATACAAAGCACCCTAACAAACTTAATCTTAAAAATAGTTCAGCGGAGAAACAAAAGCAACAATGTACTGTAATTAAAAGTCTGGCATGTGAAGCGGGGTCTCTGAGCCTTGGGTCAGGAGTGTCAGACTGTAGATGGCAGGGTCAGACAGAGTCTCCATGGTAATAATGTGCTACAGGCTGAGGAGCTGGGGGTCTGATTTAATTATGTGGCTCTGGGCCTGTCAAATAGACATAACTGGCAGACAGTCAGCTTTCAACTGCAAATCAGCTGCCTTCAAAGACACTTTCTATTCGACAGAGCAGGCTTTCTTTATAGTTCACAGCTGTCTATGAATTTCAGACTGGGAGGTGAGGAGGGACTCACTTTAGTTTTACAATATAATGAAGAAACACATCCATGAATATATTGTATCAGTCAGTCCGTTTCCTCCCTGAAAGGCCTGAAGATGGAAACAGGTAATTATTTCACCCCTGACAAATGTCAGATGTCGACCCCTCAAGTCAGTTAGTAATAAGGTGCATCATCCCACCGAAAAGCCTCAAATGGTGAGTCTGTGGAATCTGTAAAGACCTCCAATAACAATTCAATATTCAATTCAATTCAATTTTATTTGTACAGCGCCAATTCACAGCAGAAGTTATCTCAGGACACTTTTCAAATAGAGCAGGTCTAGACCATACTCCTTACAAAATAATTTACAGAGACCCAACAGTTACCAACATGAGCAAGCACTTGGCGACAGCGGCAAGGAAAAACTTCCTTTTAAGAGGCAGAAACCTCAGACAGACACCGGGTGGGTGAAGAAAGAGAGGGAGAGGATGAGAGGAGCTCAGTGCATCATGGGAAATCCCCCAATAGTCTAGGCCTATAGCAGCATAACTAAGGGATGGTTCAGGACTCACCTGAGCCAGCTCTAACTATAAGCTTTATCAAAGAGGAACGTCTTAAGCCTACTCTTAAATGTGGAGATGGTGTCTGCCTCCTGAACCAAAACTGGAAGCTGGTTCCACAGGAGAGGAGCTTGGTAACTGAAGGCTCTGGCTCCTGTTTTACTTTTAGAGACTATAGGAACCACAAGTGGCCAGCATTCCATTCCATTCCATTCCATTCCATTCAATTCAATTCAATTTTATCTGTATAGTGCCAATTCATAACAGAAGTTATCTCAGGACACTTTTCAAATAGAGCCGGTTTAGACCGAACTCCTTAAACATTTACAGAGACCCAACAGTACCACCATGAGCAAGCACTTGGCGACGGGGGCAACCAAAACTTCCTTTTGAGAGGCAGAAACCTCAGACAGACCCTTCGGCTCTAGGTGGGTGGCTGTCTGCCTCGACCAATTGGGGTGAGAGAGAGAGAGAGAGAGAGAGAGAGAGGGAGAGAGACAGAAAGAGAGACAGAGGTAACAGCCACATCGATGGGGGACAATAAGCAATAATAATAGTAATAACAGTAACTGTAGTAATAATAATAATAATAATAATAATATTAATAATAATAATATCAGTAATATTAGCAATGGCAGTCAAGCAGGACCATGGCAGTAGGCACCACCAGGATCCATGACAACCTCTGAGACGAGAAAGCACAAGAACTCCAAGGAAGTAGTGAAGTTAGTAACATGCATTAATGGGACATGAATGAGTGCAGAAAAAGAGAGGAAGAGAGGAGCTCAGTGCATCATGGGAAATGCCCCGGCAGTCGGCCTATAGGCATAACCAAGGGATGGTTCAGGACTCATCTGAGCCAGCCCTAACTATAAGCTTTATCAAAGAGGAAAGTCTTAAGCCTACTCTTAAAAGTGGAACCCAAACTGGAAGCTGGTTCCACAGGAGAGGAGCTTGGTAGCTAAAGGCTCTGGTTCCTGTTCTACTTTTAGAGACTATAGGAACCCTAGGAACCTCGTTGCCATGGCGCCGCCGTGAGTGGCATGATGTTTGTTTTTTGCTTTTTTATATTCACATTTGTGCCTTGTCACATCTGTTCAACTTCTATCCAATAGATATGGATATTTATTTACCGAAACTCGTTTATTCGAGAAACCAACTTCTCACGCCGAAGACAAAGTCCTGGGCCAGTGTGGTTCCCCAGATACCTGAAGAGGTGAGAAGACCCTATCGTGGTTGCAGGGCCGGCGCAAAGCTAAAGGCCAAGCAACTGGCGAAGAAGTGGCAATATAAACCCTCTGTACCGTCTGTGATCATGGGAAATGTGAACTCACTACCGAACATGATCGACGAACTGGCTGCGCTGGTGAAAAACTTTAAAATCTACAGGGAGAGCAGTTTGCTGTGCTTCACTGAAACGTGGCTAACGGCTAACATCCTGCTTCAGCACTGTCAGGTCGGACAGAGACACTAATGCCTGTGGGAAGCGGAAAGGAGGTAGACTAGCTGTATATGTGAAAACAAGGTGGTGTAACCCTGGACATGTGAACATCAAGATTTCCATCTGCAACAGGGACGTTGAGCTGCTTGCCGTAGGGTTGCGACCCTTCTACTTGCCCAGAGAGTTTGGACATGCCATTGTTGTTACTGTTTACATCCCACCATGTGCTGACGCGGTAGTCGCGTGTGACGTCATCCACTCCGCTGTAGCAGGACTACAAACACAGCACTCCAAGGCTCTGGTGTTAATCTCTGGGGACTTTAATCATGTGACTCTGGACACAACACTACCGGCTTTCTTCCAGTATGAGGACTGTTACACCAGGGGAAACTGAGGAGATCGTTCCTCCCCCACGCCATGAGGCTCTTCAACTCCACCCAGGGGAGGAAAACCGAAAAACTCTAAACTCCAATATGTCTGCCCTGTATTTAACTATACCACCTGCAGTGCACCCTGCATTATGTAACCACCTTATGCATCTTAGGCCTTTCAAGCACTGGATTTGACCATGCACCTTAGAACACTTACCCAATGCTCGTTATTTACCTATTTATTCTACTGTATTTTATTATTTCTTTTAAATTTGACCTCCTGTTGTTGTTGTTGTTGTTGTTGTTGTTGTTATTATTATTATCAGTTTGTGGACACTGCTGGAAACTGTGAATTTCCCCTTGGGGATGAATAAAGTATCTATCTATCTATCTATCTATCTATCTATCTATCTATCTATCTATCTATCTATCTATCTATCTATCTATCTATCTATCTATCTACCACAAGTAGCCCTGCATTCAGAGAGAGAAGTGTTCGAGTGGGGTAAAAGGGTAGTATAAGATATGAAGGGGCCTGATCATGAAGAGCTTTATAGCTCCCTGACCTATCTATCTTAAACAAAATATATTTTTTTGTCATATTTGCTGAAACTTTCACTATATCCTGACAGTAGTACATGAGACAGATAATCTGTGAAACATTTAGGGTTCTCTGGCTCCTCCTAGCCTATCAGAGCTCAGAAGAAATAAACAGATGGCAGTCAGCCACCAGGGAACAAAAGATGTTTTGGCTTCACTTTTGGAGAGCTGTCATGTGGTCCATCTTTATATATGTTGATGGTTGAACCTGAAGATGTTCTGCCTTATTTTTCAGTGTGTTTGACACAGCAGCATGTATGTAGATCATTCATTCACTGTGTAGAGACACTAGAACAAACATTGTAATTTTTAGGTTCTGTTTGGTAGTGCAGTGCAGTTCAGTTGTGTGACGGACAACAATTCAATTCAGTTCAATTTTATTTGTATAACGCCAATTCATAACAGAAGTTATCTCTGGACACTTTCCAAATAGAGCAGGTGTAGACCAAACTCCTTATAACATTATTTACTGAGACCCAACAGTACCACCATGAGCACTTGGCGACAAGGGCAAGGAAAAACTGCCTGTTAAAAGGCAGAAACCTAGGACAGATCCTTCGGCTCTAGGTGGGTCGTCGTCTGTCTTGACCAGTTGGGGTGAAAGAGAGAGAGAGAGAGAGAGAGAGAGAGAGAGACAGACAGACAGACAGACAGACAGACAGATGCACAGCAACAACAGTAGCAACAACTACACTAATAGTAGTGACTGATGATGATGGACATGACAACAGCAACGATTGGGGACAATGAGCAGTGACAACAGCAACAACAGTAACCGTAGCTATAATAACAGCAATAATATTAATAACACTAATATCAGTGATATTGGCAGTTGTAGTCAAGCAGGACCATGGCAGGAGGCTCCACCAGGATCCATGAGAACCTGCGAGATGAGAAAGCACAAGAACTCCGGGGAAGAAGTGAAGTTAGTAACATGCATTAATGGGACATGAATGAGTGCAGAAAGAGAGAGAGAGGAAGAGAGGAGCTCAGTGCATCATGGGAAATACCCCGATAGTCTAGGCCTATAGCAGCATAACTAAGGGATGGTTCAGGACTCACCTGATCCAGCCCTAACTATAAGCTTTATCAAAGAGGAATGTCTTAAGCCTACTCTTGAATGTGGTGAGGGTGTCTGCCTCCCGAACCACAACTGGAAGCTGGTTCCACAGGAGAGGAGCTTGGTAACTGAAGGCTCTGGCTCCTGTTCTACTTTTTGAGACTATAGGAACCACAAGTAGCCCAGCATTCAGAGAACGTAGTGTTCTAGTGGGGTAATAGGGTACTATGAGCTCTTTAAGATATGAAGGGGCCTGACCATGAAGAGCTTTATAGGTGAGGAGGAGGGTTTTAAATTCTATTCTAAATTTTACAGGGAGCCAGTGCAGAGTAGCTAGTACAGGAGAGATGTGATCTCTTTTTCTAGTTCCTGTCAGTGCTCGTGCTGCAGCGTTCTGAATTAATTGGAGCGTTTTAATGGACTTATTGGGGCAGCCTGATAATAAAGAGTTGCAGTAATCCAGCCTAGAAGTAACAAATGCATGGATTAGTTTTTCTGCATCTGTCTGTGATAGGATGTGTCTAATTTTTGTAATATTATGTAAATGAAAGAAGGCAGTGCTAGAGGTTTGCTTTATGTGGGAATTAAATGACAAATCCTGATCAAAGATAACTCCAAGATTCCTGACAGTGGTGCTAGAGGCCAAGGTTATGCCATCTAGAGTAACTATATCTTTAGACAGTGAGCCTCTAAGGTTTTTGGGGCCAAGTACAAGAATTTCTTTTTTTTTCTGAGTTTAACATCAGAAAATTGCAGCTCATCCAGGATTTTATGTCCTTAAGACATGTTTGTAATTTAGATAATTTATTAATTTCATCGGGCTTGATTGATAGATATAACTGCGTATCATCTGCATAACAGTGAAAGTTAAAGGAGTGATTCCTAATAATGTTGCCTAAAGGGAGCATATATAAAGTAAATAGTATTGGTCTAAGTACAGAACCTTGTGGAACTCCATGACTAACTGTAGTATTTATTGAAGATTCATCGTAAACATGTACAAACTGAGAACGATCTGATAAGTATGACTTAAACGAGCTTAGTGCGGTTCCTTTAATGCCAATTTGATGCTCAAGTCTCTGTAAAAGAATATCATGGTCAATGGTGTCAAATGCCGCACTAAGATCTAATAATACAAGTACAGAGACAAGTCCATTGTCTGAAGCAATCAAAAGGTCATTATTAACTTTAATTTTAATCAAATAAACTATTGTTATGTAGAAAGTCACACAACTCTTTGGCGACTACTTTCTCCAGAATCTTAGAGAGGAAGGGGAGGTTAGAGATCGGTCTATAGTTGGCTAAAACCCCTGGGTCAAGAGTGGGCTTTTTAAGAAGGGGTTTAATTACAGCTACTTTAAAGGACTGTGGTACAAATCCTGATAAAAAAGAAAGATTAATCATATCCACTAAAGAAGTGCCAATTAACGGTACGACTTCTTTAAGCAGCCTAGTTGGGATCGGGTCTAACAGACAGGTTGATGGCTTCAATGTAGAAATTATTGAAATTAACTGATGAAGATCGATAGCAGAAAAACAGTCTAAATATATACCTGAGTTTACATTAGTTAAAGTACAACATCCACAGTAGGAAGTCAATTGATTGCGTCTGTCTGTCTGTCTGTCTGTCTGTCTCTCTCTCTCTCTCTCACCCCAACTGGTCGAGGCATAGGGCCACCCACCTAGACCCCTCGGTCTGTCCTAGGTTTGTGCCTCTTAAAAGGAAGTTTTTCCTTGCAGCCATTGACTAGTGCTTGCTCATGGTGGGAATTGTTGGGTCTCTGGTATGAATTGGTGCTATACAAATAAAACTGAATTGAATTGAATTGCTCAGAATTGAGCAAAAAGAGAGAAGACCTACTCCAGACCAGCTCTTCCTAATGGCATTTGCAAGAATGAATGACCGGCACAAAAACAACCATCCAGAAATAAAGTTGATTGTTGAGTCTCATTACAAGACACTTTGAGACCCTGGGAATAACACTCCACAATCATCTTTCTTGCTGAAGCATCTTTATATCTTTGTCTTCACTAATACCTTAAGGAGCACAAGGAACCAGATTTTTTCACAGATTTCCTGTCTCATGTACTACTGTCAGGATATAGTGAAAGTTTTAGCAACTATGACAAAAAGTTATTTTTATAGAAGTTACCTACTGCAGCTTTAACAGTGAGTCATCAATTCCCAGTTAGTTCCTGAACTGTTGTTCCGTGGTTACAGTATTTTGTGTACATTATTATATTACCAAAACATATTTGTAATATCTGTTATTTGACTATAACACAAATCTTCCTTTCCTCTTCCCTGAGTGTCGACTGGAAACACTGGTCCACACAGGCAGAGTCTGAACTTGGATGTTGTAGTGAAAGCCTGTAAGGTCAGCAGTGTTTTTCCACTGCAGCTTCCTGTTGTTGTGAGATGATTAAGAACCACATGCTCTACTATGCTTACAAAGTAAGGGCCCGAGTTGCAAACAGCAATAGAATTACACTAGACACTCCTGGCAGTGCAATATAAAACTGAATTATAAAAAGACAAGTTAGTGAACTAAATATTAAATACAGAGTTTCAATGACACAGCTAGTGTTATCTGTCTTCTGCTTGGAACCATTAGCTTGTGTTCACCTTTGATACGTTTGACTAGTATAAGGCAGAGTGTCACACTAATAATTCACCACCACCAGAGCCTTAATTAGAACTCTGTTATTCCCCCGTGCTCATTATGTGAGCCTGCATCAATTAAAAAAGTCTGTTTACTTACACTTAAGTGAAATATATACAGTTGTACACTACTAACACAAGTCTAGCTTTGTGGACCTATAATTATTTTTAACTTATGAACAGTGTTGGGCAAGTTACTTTTAAAAAGTAATTAGTTACAGTTACTAGTTACTTCTTCCAAAAAGTAACTAAATTAGTTGCAAATTATAAAAGTAACTAGTTACTTCAGAAAGTAACTATTGCGTTACTGTCAAGTAAATTTTTAAATGCTCAAATGTGACCCCACCTCCACCCCTCTTTAACAGAACTCAAAATACATGTGCATGTTCAATTATTTATGATAAATCTGAATATTATAATGAAATGGACACTTAATACAATCCATTATTAACAGAAACAATGTACACAAATCTAAACAATTTTAATTTTGATGTGGGACAAAGTGAGACTAGCCTTCAATCAAATGCTATGTATGTAGATATTATGTTTATATACTGGATCGATACAAATAACACAATAGATGTTTTGGAACTTTTTATATTTATTGCCCCTCAACAGGCCACAACTGGGCAAAATTAAATTATGCTTGTTAAGCACTATACCAAAAATAAATAACAAATATATACACTCTTTGTAGTGCAAATAAAACAAAACAAAAACTTCAGACAATTGGTAGATATACTGTACTTCAAGTATTTTCTTCCTCAAATAAGTAGAAGAGTGTAGCAATATGAGGTGCTTTCAATCTAACTGAAAAGTACAATGTATAGCAAAACTAAGGAATCCAAATAAAACAGGTAATACATAAGAAATAAAAATAATCTCCATAAAAATAAATCTCTTTCTCTGGCCATTGACAATCTCACTTCAAGAGGCTGCAGCCAGCCAACAAATAAATCTAAATCAAATTATGCTCTTTAAGCAATGTACCAAAAATGTATTCAAACAATATATACACTATTTTTAGTGCAAATGTAATAAGATGCAACACAACTCGCCATACCTGTCTCTTGTTGACTGACTCGCTTGTGTTGTTCGTTGTGTGTCCGACTATGGGTGCTTTCGAACACCCGCCCAACTCTACCTCCGATTGGCTTACCATGAAATTTTACTCAACCTCAGCCAATCGTCAGCATTTATGCGCTTGTCTCGTGCACTGCCCACTAACCAAGGAAGAACAGTAAAAAAAAGTCTTTGCCTCTTGGCTCAGAGATCGAGTTGGTCTGATGAAAAAAACAGCTTCAATTATAGTAACATGCCACATTTTTTGGCAGTAACGGTAACGGTGTTATTAAGATAGAAAGAGTAATCAATTAGATTACTCGTTACTGAAAAAAGTAATGCAGTTAGTAATGCCGTTATTTATAACGCCGTTATTCGCATCACTGCTTATGAATACTACTACATCATTGCTGTATTACATACTACTTTGTGATACCTGTGTAAAAGATAGGTCTGGTGTTGGTCTGTATTCTTACAGAGGTGGGACCAAGTCACAAGTAAGTCCCAAGTCATAAACTTTGAGCCTGTTAACAGCTTGTATAAACATGCGTCTTTCATGATCTGATCAAGTGGACAGCTCTGAATACTATGGAAGCAATGTGACAAAAAATATTGCATAAAGAGCAGGGAAGTGAGATCAGATCACAAGTGGTCACTTGAGACGCATTCTAATGCCAGGTGTAAACTGATGTACTTGTGATCGGCTTACCCAAGACGCATGTTAATTCCAGTTGTAAACAGGCTCATAGTGCTCAGTAACGTACATTAATATTAGTTCAGCTTGGCACTCTGCTGCAACCTGATTGGATGCTGTCGGATTGGTTCAAATCAATTTACACTAAATGGTAATGGTAAATGGACTGTCCTTGTATAGCACCTTACATCACTCAAAGTGCTTTTACACTACATGCCACATTCGCCCTTTCACACACATTCACACAGTGATGGCAAAGCCGATCAAAAAGAATAACTCACTCAAACTCAGCAATTTGGGGTTCAGTATCTTGCTCAAGGATCCTTCGACATGCAGCAGGATGAGCCGGGGATTGAACTAAGAACCTTCTGATGAGTTGTTAAGAGAGGTCCAGGTTACATATAGCTCTTTTTTCGTTTTAAGGATATATAATTATATATCAGACCATATTACAAAAAAATTTAAAAGTCGTACGGCTATGTGAATAAAATTGTAATTTTGACACAAAAAGTCTGGATATTAGATCATGAAGATAGTCTTTTTTGTTTTCTGGGCATATTATTCTCCCAAATACTGGGGATTTGCAGAGATGACCGTTCAGGCTGGGAAGCAATAAGTTGTCTCCTCTGGAACATTTAAATAAGGTATATGAGGAGAACAAACAAAACAAATTGGCTGAATGTCTATATTGTTTAAGCTTAGCTGTAGCATTCTGGTTCTCATGGGTTCTCTTT